AATCATTATTTTTAATTTTATATCACACTAATTTTAATTATTACAGAAATGGAACAATTGTGCATAAATGGAACACTTGACCCATTTGAGATCACACAATGTGGAAATGTCCACTTAATAATTCCCACATTGTGAACCTGGGTCGCGACCACATTATTTAGATTGAGTTGAGTTGGGGATAAATATAAATTAGAGTTAAAGATTAAGTTGTGTAGGTAGAGGAGAGAGAAATAATTTTTAATTATTAGGTTGAGTTGGATTAGGTTGAGGATAATGATAGTCTTACTATTAGCGCATCACATGAATGGGCCATTACCATTATCATGCGTAGCCGAAAAGTGTATTTTATTAAATAAAAAGAAAAATATTATTTCTTATGCAAAAATTAAATGTGAAATTTAGGTTTGATTGTTTATGAATTAATTTGTTGAAATTGAGTTATTTTGGTTAATTATAGTTAATTTTAAAAAAGGTGGTATGGTTAATTATAGTGGAATTTTAAGAATGTATTAAAATAATATTTAAAATAAAATAATTAAAATTGATTTGATGTAAAAGTAAGAGATAAATAATTAGAAATGATAGGTAGTTAAAATTATGTGAGTGGATGAATAGTAAATTAAAGTTGATGTGATGTGTAAGAATGATTTATTTGTATTATTTAATTATATGAATAATATTAAAGATAGTGAGGTTGGGTTAAAGTTGAGTTAGATTTTGAGTTGAAATAAAAGTGAGTAAATTATTTTGTAAACAATCACCCCCTTATTTTTTGCAAATGGAAGAGTTTGTACTAATAAGAATCTTCTGAAAAAATAGATAATATTAATTATGATCAGCTAACTATAAGTCTATGACAATGTTTACCAAACCATGCTTCATTGTGAATGCTTATCAAGTACACTAGAATTGCTACACGAAACGAGCAGCTCGTGAGCTAGGCTCGAATTATTAAGACTCGAGCTCGTTTATGGCTCAATTAGTTAATGAGTCGAGCTCAGTTCGTTGACGTCGTTCAATTCGACTTATTACTTAATTTCATGATTTTATAACATAATTCGACTCGTTGACAAATTGAGCTCGAGTTTGATTATTGTACTATTAAGAGCCAACACTTGAGTATCAGGAGCTCAAACTCGATGTTCCTCGTTTACAGCTCTGAACTTTATGAGATACAAATCAGTAGATTTTGATTGTTGTAATTAGAAGGATACTGGAAAATTTTGATTTAAGGTTTTTGGTTTTGGCTGACCAGATAATTTATCCCCACCGGAACCATGATTTAATAGAAAAATGTAAATCAAGATCAGACTCAAATTTAATACTTAATTCTTTTCAATATTATCAATATAATTAAATAATATCACACGATTTTTAATAAAATTTTGAACTGAATCGTTAAATACCGCACCCAAATTCATTATACCGCACCCACAAAAGACCAATTTACCCTTACTAATTTAAAAAAAAAATCTGAAAAAAAAACCCGAA